CCCCCCCCCGCCCGCCGTCCCGGGCCCCCCCCGTTCCCCCCCCCCCCCCCCCTCGGGGCCGCCGCTCGGGAACCCCGGGACCCCCCAAAAACCCCCCCGGGACCCCCCAGAACCCCCCCGGGACCCCCGGAACCGCCGCGGGATAACGGGAGGGGCCTGGAGAACCCCGGGACCCCCCCGGGACCCCCCCGGGACCCTCCCCGGGACCCCCCCGGACCCCCCGGGACCCTCCCCGGGACCCTCCCCGGGACCCCCCGGGACCCCCCCGGGACCCTCCCCGGGACCCCCCCGGGACCCCCCCGGGACCCTCCCCGGGACCCTCCCCGGGACCCCCGCCAGCGCTCGGTGGGATCGGGAACCCCCGAATTCCTCCCGGGATCCCCAAAACCGCTCGGGGGGGAGAACCCGGGACCCCCAAAACTTTTCGGGGGGGCATCCCGGGACCCCCAAATGTCCCCCCCCGGGGCGGGGGCGGTCCCGGTCCCCTCCCGGTCCCCCGGGGTTGGGCAGGGAGGGATTCCTGAGGCAGTACGGAATGGGGCGGGGGCGGCGGGGGGGATCTGGAGCCCCCCCCAGCACCGGGGGGGATTTTGGGGGGAGGGATTTGAGGGGCTGAACCCCCCCGGCTGCCTAAAGGGGGTCCTGGGGGGGTTTTGGGGGGGGGATTTTGGGTTTTGGGGGGGATTTTGGGGTTTTGGAGTGGCATTTTCGGGTTTAGAGGGGATTTCGGTGTTTTTGGGGGTATTTTAGGGGTTTTGGGGGGTATTTTGGGGTGTTTGGGGGGTATTTTGGGGTGTTTTGGGGGTATTTTGGGGCTCTGACCGCCCCCCGTGCCCCCCCCAGATGGAGCCGGTGCCCAAGGGGGTCCTGGGGGCTCTGGCCAAGCCCCGGCGCCCGGTGATCGCCTGCAGCGTCTGCCAGATCCGCTTCAACTCGGAGGTGAGACCCCCGGGACCCCCCCGGGACCCCCAAACCCGGGACAGACCCCCGGGACCCCCCCGGGACCCCCAAACCCGGGACAGACCCCCGGGACCCCCATCCTGAGCACCCTGGGGATTTGGGGTGTCCCCAAGGGGTGACTCGGGGTCTGGAGGGGGTGACAGTGTCCCCCGGGGGGGTGACCCGGTGTCCCCCGGGGTGGTGGCAGTGTCCCGGGTGTGTCCCGGGTGTGTCCCGGGTGTGTCCCCGCGCTGTCCCCGTGTCCCGAGGCTGTGTCCGGGCTGTGACCGTGTCCCCCCCGGTGTCCCCCCGCTGTCCCCAGAGCCAGGCCGCCGCTCACTACCAGGGCAATCGCCACGCTCGGCGCCTCAAGGGGCTCGAGGCCGCCCGGGCCCGCCGGGGGGGGGACACGGGGGACCCCCCGGACCCCCCCGGCCCCGCCGCCCCCCCGGCCGGGGACACCCCCGAGCGCTCAGGTGGGTGCTGGACCCACCCCCTTCTCCCGAAATCCCACCCCAAAACACCCCGATAACCCCAAAATACCCCGATAACCCCAAATCCTCACCTCAATAACCCCAAATCCCCCCAAAAAACACCTCAATGACCCCAAATCCCACCCCAAAATACCCCGATAACCCCAAAATACCCCGATAACCCCAAATCCTCACCTCAATAACCCCAAATCCCCCCAAAAAACACCTCAATGACCCCAAATCCCACCCCAAAATACCCCGATAACCCCAAGTCCTCAGCCAAAACACCCCAATAAGCCCAAATACCCCCAAAACTCCCCCAAACCCCCCCAAAACCCCCTACAATCCCCCTAAATCCCCCCAACCCTCCCCG